TGCCTGTCATAAAAAAAAAAAAAAAAAAAAAAAAAAAGAATCACCTCCAATAATGTACAAACGCACTCACTCAAAAGGTCTTGGTTGTCTCCGGCAAAGATCAATTTCAATTATTCACAATTGTGGTGCTCTTTGCTTTTATTGGTAAAACATTTCTAGGCCATGACTTTGAATACTCGTCAGCTTCAGAAAAGTTATTTGTTTCTAATATTTTGAATTCACCCACAAAACAGTTCTCTGCATCGTGATTATATGTGGTAAACCATACTTCGTAGCAATTATAACTCTGCAGCACATTTAACTTACTAATATTTATTGAAATATTTTTAGCTGCAAAAACATTTTATGTTCACTATTATTTATTAATGCCCTGTTTTAAAATATTACACATAAAATTTATTCCAGTGCACATTAGTAAATAAATTATGCTTGTAATTTCTAATGCATTTTTAATTATAAATTTATCCATGTCTACCTTTATTTATGATAGCCGTGTCTCACTGTTGAACATACTGTATATTAATGGAGACACTGTTAATTATGCATTCTTGGAAGTTGCATTCGACAAAACATACGAGTTGGTTTTTTACATTCTAAGGACTGTTAACATCAATTAATTTAGGAGTTGGTCCTCACTACTAGCTAACATTAAAGCAAGGAAAGATACTAGCAGAAGCTGGTAAAGAGCCTTAATTTTGGAAAGGAACTACACTTGATATGCACATGTAGCCACAGACCTTCGTTTGTCACCCCAAGTACCTAAAAAGGGATACTCATTAGAAACAACATTCAGCGGGAAAACAGAACAAAGCTGGATAAATCTTGGCCTAGCCCCCTGACCTCATCTATACCTAAAGAGGAGTCTCAAAGTGTATGTTTAACATTTTCTGGTTGGGTAATTTTGTGCTTCCCTTCTACCCACCAAACTGACCTTGTTACAAGCAACACATTTGCTTTACAACTTTTATTTATTTTCATTTTACTCAATGGCAGAGAGAGAGAGAGAGAGAGAGAGAGGCAGACAGAGATCTTCTACTGCCTGGTTCACCCCACACAATGCCCACAACAGCCAAGGCTGGGCCAGGCTCCAGCTAGGAGTCTGGAACTTACTCTGGATCTCCCCCATGGTGAGCAGGGACCCAAGTACTTTAGCCATCGTACACTGTTTCCCAGAGCACACGTTAGCAGGAAGCTGGATCAGAAGTGGAGTAGTCAGGATTCAAACCAGGCGTTCTGATAGGGATGTGAGTGTTCCAAGCAGCGCCTAAATGCTGCACCAAACACTTATCCTGAAAACACCTCTTACACTGTTACATTTAAATATGTTTAAAGATTTATTTATTTGAAAGGTGGAGTTAAGAGAGAGAAAGAGAGAGAGAGAGACTTCTATTTGCTGGTTCACTTCCCAAATGGCTGCAATGGCCAGGGCTGTGCCAGGCCAAAGACAGGTGTTTTCTCTAGGTCTCCCATGTGGGTTCTGGGACCTAAGCACTTGGAGCGTTCTCTGCTGCTTTCCCTGGCACATTAGCAGGGAGCTGGATTCAAAGTGGAGTATCCAGGACTCAAACCAGCGCACATATGGGATGCCAACATCACTGGCAGCAGCTTAACCCACTGCGCCACAACTATGGCTGCTGTACATTTACATTTTACATAAACTCCATGGTACAAAGCTTATATTTTGAAAACACATATTTCAAAAGGAGAAGACGCCATAATTGGGAAAATGCCAGGAAACATATTCACACATATGAAATAGTATTTGCAGAGAAATAATATTTCCAGAAAAAGTGAAAGGAGCCTCCATTTGCCCATAGCTTTGGCAGGCTTTGAAAGAGAGTCACTTTTATCCTGTTTTGTTTACTCTCTGTTTGCTGTCATGTGTTGGGCAGAGTGGTATTTTCCCAGTGCTAATTACGCTTATTCAACATAAGATTTCCAATTGCTCCATTTTACTTGCAGGTTTGGAGCACCTGTGCATTTAACATGCCTTTACCAACTGTTAATGGTGTTTTAAGCTTTTAGTACTCCTATATGAAAGAAGAAATATCATTTCCTCGTGGCCTGTCAGGGATACAGATGTGTGTTTAAAGAACAAAGTGGGGGAGCAGCACTGTGGTGCAGCTGGTAAACTACCGCCTGTAGTGCTGGATTCCATATGGGCACCAGTTCAAGACCCGGCTGCTCCTCTTCTGATCCAGCTCTCTGCTGTGGCCTGGGGAAGCAGTAGAAGATGGCCCAAGTGCTTGGGCCCCTGCACCAACATGGGAGACCCAGAAGAAGATCCTGTCCCAGAAGAAGATCCTGTCTCCTGGCATTGATTGGCACAGCTCCGGCCATTGCAGCCATCTGGGGAGTAAACCAGTGGATGGAAGACCTCCCTCTCTCTCTGCCTCTGCCTCTCTGTAACTCTACCTTTTGAATAAAAATAAATAAATCTTATAAAAAAAAGAATGAATAGGAGGCGCTGGCATTGTGGCATAGGGGGTTAAGCCACTGCCTGTGATGCCATCATCCTATCAGAGTGCTGGTTTGAGTTCCAGCTGCTCCGCTTCTGATCCAGCTCCCTGCTAATGCACCTGGGAAGGCAGCAGAGGATAGGTTAAGTATATTAGAGCATCTGCCACCCATGTGGGAGACCTGGATGAGTCCTGGCTTTGCCTGATCCACTTTTTTAAGATTCATTTATTTATTTGAAAGTCAGAGTTACAGAGAGAAGGAGAGAGAGAGAGAGAGAGAGAGAGAGTGAGTCTTCTATCCACTGGTTCATTCCCCAATTGGCCACAATGGCCAGAGTTGCACCTATCTGAAGCCAGGAGCCAGGAGCTTCTTCCAGATGTACCATGTGGGTGCAGGGGCCCAAGCACTTGGGCCATCTTCTACTGCTTTCCCAGGCCATAGCAGGGAGCTGGATCAGAAGTGGAGCAGCCGGGACTCAAACCAATGCCCACATAGGATGCTGGCACTGCAGGCAGCAGTTTTACCTGCTACACCACAGTGCCAGCCCCATGATCCACTCGTGACTGTTGCAGCCATTTGGTGAGTTAACCAGCAAATGGAGTATCTTTTTCTCTCTCGCTGTTGCTGTGCCTTTCAAATAGTTAAATAAATAATCTTTTTTTAAAAAAAGAATGAACAGGAAAAGCTTCCTGGAGGAAGAAGTACATGGGTCTTGTCTTCTAGATGCATGAGACACATATAAAAATGGCCAACAAGGCATATTCAAGGTTATTTCAAAAAGCTTATGGGAAATGGCATCCAAAGCTAGGTCTAAAGATGTTTGAAATCTATGCATAGCTTTTTCATAGTATATATTTTCCAGGACCCTTTGGAAGGCACCTTATACATATACACAAAAGCACACATATGCATGCCTATATTTGAAAATATATGAGGGGGGTCTTCAGAAGTTCATGAAAATATGTATTATGGAGAAATTATGCATGGATTTCAAAAACCATTTGTGCCTAAACTTACCCTCAAATTCAATTTTCCATAAGCTTTTTGAAGCACCCTGGTGTGAATAAATATCCACAATAAAATTTTTTTCTAAAAAGACACTTGTGGGGCTGGCGCTGTGGTGTAGTGGGTAAAGCTGTTGCCTGCAGTGCTGGCTTCCATATGGGCACCAGCTCGAGACCCGGCTGCTCCACTTGCCACCCAGCTCTCTGCTACGTCCTGGGAGAGCAGTAGAAGATGGCCCAAGTGCTTGGGCACCCATATGTGATACCCAGAAGAAGCTCCTGGCTCCTGGCTTCGGATTGGCGCAGCTCTGGCTGTTGCGGCCATTTGGGGAGTAAACCAGCAGATGGAAGACCTCTCTCTCTCTCTCTGCTTCTGCCTCTCTGTAACTCTGCCTTTCAAATAAATAATAAATAAATCTTTAAAAAGACACTTGCACATATAGGCTTTTCCTTTATTTTTTTTTAATTTTTTGACAGGCAGAGTGGACAGTGAGAGATATAGGTCTTCCTTTCTCCGTTGGTTCACCCCCCAGTGGATGCTGCGGCCAGCGCGCTGTGGCTGGCGCACCGCGCTGGTCCGAAGCCAGGAGCCAGATGCTTCTCCTGGTCTCCCATGCGGGTGCAGGGCCCAAGCACTTGGGCCATCCTCCTCTGCACTCCTGGGCCACAGCAGAGAACTGGCCTGGAAGAGGAGCAACCGGTACAGAATCGGGCGCCCCGACTGGGACTAGAACCCGGTGTGCCAGCACCGCAGGCGGAAGATTAGCTTATTGAGCCGCAGCGCAGGCCTCCTTTATTTATTTGTTTGTTTGTTTATTTATTTATTTGACAGGCAGAGTGGACAGTGAGAGAGAGAGAGAGAGAGGAAGGTCTTCCTTTGCCGTTGGTTCACCCTCCAATGGCTGCCGCGGCTGGCGCACCACGCTGATCCGAAGGCAGGAGGAGCCAGATGCTTCTCCTGGTCTCCCATGGGGTGCAGGGCCCAAGCACTTGGGCCACCCTCCACTGCACTCCCGGGCCACAGCAGAGAGCTCTCCTGGAAGAGGGGCAACCGGGACAGAATCCGGCGCCCTGACAGGGACTAGAACCCGGTGTGCCGGTGCCACAAGGCGGAGGATTAGCCTAGTGAGCCACGGCGCCGGCCCCTTTATTTATTTTTAAGATCTTATGCATTTAGGCCGGCGCCGCGGCTCACTAGGCTAATCCTCCGCCTAGCGGCGCCGGCACACCGGGTTCTAGTCCCGGTCGGGGCGCCGGATTCTGTCCCGGTTGCCCCTCTTCCAGGCCAGCCCTCTGCTGTGGCCAGGGAGTGCAGGGGAGGATGGCCCAGGTGCTTGGGCCCTGCACCCCACGGGAGACCAGGAAAAGCACCTGGCTCCTGGCTCCTGCCATCGGATCAGCGCGGTGCGCCGGCCACATCGCGCTGGCCGCGGCGGCCATTGGAGGGTGAACCAACGGCAAAGGAAGACCTTTCTCTCTGTCTCTCTCTCACTGTCCACTCTGCCTGTCAAAAAATAAAAAAAAAATAAAAAAAAAAAGATCTTATGCATTTATTCATTGGAAAGTCATTCTGTGGCCATTTGTTTTAGGCACTGTTAAAAGGTGAGATCTTAAATTTCTCGACCCCCATCACACCTGCCTGGGGAAGCCTCTTCCTTGGATTAATCCAATTTTCCACTTTTTGCTGTGCTTCTATGTTAAGTGCTCAAGTTCACTACAGGAAAAACACACAGACCATTATATTAATAACCCCTAAGTTAAGGGTCTCCATTCTCCACTGGGCCCTCAACTCTGTCCTTGAAATCTTACCTTATTTCCCAGCATGCCAGCTTGTCAGAGGAACTCATATTTTATTCTTTAAAATTTATTTACTTGAAAGGCAGAGAGCGAGCGAGCGAGAGCAAGTGAGCAAAGCTTTCATTTGCTGACTCACTCCTCAAATAGCCACATTGGCAGGGGCTGGACCTGGTGAGACCAAGAGCCAAGAATTCTATCTGGGGGCAGGTGCTGTGGCGTAGCAGGTAGGCGGCCACCTGTAGTGCTAGCATCCCATAAGGGTGCTGGTTCAACTCCCGGCTGCTCCACTTTCAATCCAGCTCTCTGCTATGTCCTGGGAGAGCAGTAGAAGATGGCCCAAGTCCTTGGGCCCCTGCACCCACGTGGGAGACCTAGAAGCAGCTCCTGGTTCCTGTCTTCAGATTGGCACAGCTCCAGCCGTTGTGGCCAACTGTGGAGTGAACCAGCGGATGGATGATCTCTCTTTGCCTCTCCTTCTACATGTAACTATTTCAAATAAATAATAAATAAATAATTTATTTTTTATTTAGTAAATATAAATTTCCAAAGTACAGTTTATGGATTACATTGGCTTTCTCCCCCATATTTCCCTCCCACTCACACCCCTCCCATCCCCCACTCCCTCCCATTCCATTCACATCAAGATTCATTTTCAATTCTCTTTATATACAGAAGATCGATTCAGTATATATTAAGTAAAGATTTCAACAGTTTGCACCCACACAGAAACACAAAGTGTAAAAATACTGTTTCAGTACTAGTTATAGCATTACTTCACATTGGACAACACATTAAGGACAGATCCCACATGAGAAGTAAGTACACAGTGACTCCTGTTGTTGATTTAACAATTTGACACTCTTGTTTATGGCATCAGTAATCTCCCTAGGCTCTAGTCATGAGTTGCCAAGGCTATGGAAGCCTTTTGGGTTTGCCGACTTCGATCTTATTCCAACAGGGTCACAGTCAAAGTGGAAGTTCTCTCCTCCCTTCAGAGAAAGGTACCTCCTTCTTTGATGGCCCCATTCTTTTCACTGGGATCTCACCCGTAGAGATCTTTCATTTAGGTTTTCTTCTTCTTTTTTTTTTTTTTCCCCCAGTGTGTCTTGGCTTTCCATGCCTAAAATACTCTCATGGGCTCTTCAGTCGGATCCGAATGCCTTAAGGGCTGATTCTGAGGCCAGAGTGCTGTTTAGGACATCTGCCATTCTATGAGTCTGCTGTGTATCCTGCTTCCCATGTAGGATTGTTGTCTCCCTTTCTGATTCTATCAGTTAGTATTACAAAATGAATTCTATCTGGGTCTCCCACATGGGTGGGAGGGACTCACTCATGCCATCATCTGCTACTTTCCCAGGCACGTTAGCATGAAGCTTGATCCCAAGTGGGGCAGCTGAGATCTTTACCCAGACTCCAATATGAGATGCTGGCATTGCCGTTGGTGGCTTAACCTGCTTCTACACAGTGCCCACCCCAGAATTATTTTAACCCATAGTCAAATAACTTCTTGAGGGCAGAGTCTCTGGCTTTTTTACAACCGAATCTCCAGTGCCTAGGCTGGGCACCCATAAGTACCTGCTTATTGACAGGTGTAGTAACAGTGGTAAGTACTCAGTATTAGCCACCTGCTTGGCTGCATTCTATGGAGTTCTATGTATTAGCTCATTCAGTCCTCACAACGGTTATGACTTTTTTGTTTCAGTCTTTTTTTTAAAAGATCTATTGTATTTATTTGAAAGTTAGAGTGACAGAGATAGGTAGTACAGAAAGAGATCTTCCATCCGTTGGTTCATTCTCCAAATGACCATGATGGTTGGGGCTGGGCCAGGCCAAAGCCAGGAGCCAGGTACTCCATCAGGATCCCAAGTGGGTGCAGGGGTCCATGTACTTGGCCCATCCTGTGCTGCTTTCCCAGGAGCATTAACAGGAAGCTGGATGGGAAGTGGACCAGCCGGGACATGAACCAGTACCCTGATATGAGAACTGGCATTGCAGGCTGCAGCTTAACCTACTGTTGCACAAGGTCTGGCTCTGTTACTTTTGATTTCCATTCTACAGATAAGGAAATTTAAAGAGGTAGCTTGGAGAGACGAAGCTACAAAACTCCTAAGTGGAGAGAGTGTTCAGTCTTTAGACTCCATGAGCGACCCGCAGGTCCAGTCGATTTCGATTTCACACAGGTCTTGGCCGTGGGAGGGACGCTCAGGCAGCTGGGTTTCAGACTGGAGCCCAGGAAAGCAGAGAAAACGAGCGAAAGGTTTGGGGGGAAGTGGGGGAACCTACCCAACCTTTCTGTCCACCCGGCCAGAGCGCCCCCGACAGGTCCCCGCCGGAACCACGGAGGGCAGGTGCAGGGCGCGCCCGCACCGACCGTGCGGTGCCAGCACCCAGCACCCCGTGCGCCTCCCTGCCGTCCTCGCCGCGGACCCGCGTCTGGGCACTACACACAATGAGGGAGGTCGCGGCACCTCCTGCGGGTGCGTGCCGTCAGCCACTGTGCGGCCCCTCACCCCTCACCCCGTTTGATTCTCACAGCCATCCCGTCATCCCGGAACTGCTGCTACGGACGGGAAAGCCGAGGCTCCGAGGGGGCAGCTGCAGTGTCCAGGGGTACACTGCAAGTCAGCAGCGGCATTCGAACCCAGGGCTTTCGGATACACGCGCTAGGCTGCCTCGTTCCTCATTTCTGGATGAACTGGGGGCTCTTCTCTTTGCAAGTGGCAAGAACGAGGGCTCCACGGGGATCGCTGACGTCGATTTCCGTCCCAGGAAAGCCGGGCGCGAGCGAACCTCGCCGGGATTCCCAGGCTCGGACCCAGGCCTCTACCGACCCCGGAGAAGAACGCGCATGCGCACGGCCCCCCGCCCCCCGGGAAGTGGCTCTCGACTCTCGAGCTTGCGCACTGCGTTCCCCAGCCAGAGGCGCCTTCCTGGTCGGGGACTTCCGGTGCGCGGGGGTGCGGTTCCGGGTCGTGGCGCGGCTCGGGGTAACAGGGCTGCTGCTCGGCCGGTCGGCGGCGGCGAGCAGCCGGGACATGAGGGCTAGTCCGGGCGACGGCAGCTGAGAGGGCCGGGAGGAGCACCGGTCCCCGAGGATCCCGAGAGTGCAGAGTCGGGGCAGGGGCCGGGAGGCGTGGGGGAGCCGGGCCCTCCTCTCAGGAACGTTTCCCAAGGCCAGCCCGGCCCGTAGTGTGGAAGCAGCTTCAGGTAAAGGTTGCCCCAGCCGCTAGCTCCCTTGCCCGCCCGCCTGCCCGCCGGCCGGCCCGCTCGGCCTCTCACGGGGCCTGGCGGCTCGGATCCCCGGCGCTGCCTGCCCAGCGGGCCGCCCGTCAGGCCCCTGCTCCGGTGGTCAGCGGCAGCCGTTCCCTGGCCCCTTCCAGGAGCGGAGGCTGCCGTGAGCCTGACGTCCGGGTGTGGACCCCGTCGTGTGGGGTGGGGGCGCGGGCGCAGGTGGCTCCTGCGGTTTCTGTAGGTGCCCCGCTCTTCACAGTGTGAACATCGAGTTCTTCAGGTGTTGCGTGCGTGGTCCTGTCTCGTCCCCCTACACGGATGAACAGCCCCGCTGAGTTTTTGTTAGCTGGAGTGCTGCTGCAACTTTGGGTCAGGTATTATTTTTATTTTTACCCTTATTTTGCAGAGTCTTCTGGATCTGTTTAAGGTTGGAGAAAAAAATTGTGTACACAAGGGTAGTATTTTAACCAGAGACACCCCTTCCCCAAATTGACTCAGAAATCGGATAAAACTGCATTCTGAATGAACGCAAGTGCTGTTTGAAGCCCACCGAAGTGGCACCGTGGAAAGCATCATGTTGTTGTAAACCCAAGTCAGCAAAGTTGAAAACTTCTCGGGTGTGACCCAGTGGCGGTACACCGCTAGAAAAAGCCGGACTTCTCGTGCTGTTTGGACAGGCAGGCGGGGGTGGATCTTCAGCGTTAAAACCCACCAGGACAGCTAACGAGGCACCCTGCTGTAGTCTCGGGTGCTGAGAGCCCACGCCGGGTGCTCCCGTGGTGCCGGGGGCGCCCTTGATGAAGTGATAATGGTTTTCATCCTCTCCAGCGTACCCACGTGCGAGCTCTCTGGGCCTGTGGCGTGTGCTGGTAGCCCCTCTCCCTCCCACTGTGGGCCAGACCACACTCGTGCCTGTGCGCCCCCCGACCTGGCTCGGGGCAGAGGCCCCCACTCGGATCCGTTGCTCTAGGCTCTCACGTCGCCCTTTGTCTTTGGCAGGGCGTGAGAAGGTTTCCCCTTTTCTGTGGTCCTCTCGAGAAACGCCCCTTGGCCTAGCTGAAGTTGGCCTCCCTCACCCAGTTTGGGACAACCCCAACTAGAAATGATTTCTCTAGACTCCTGTAAGCACTCATTGTTGTATTTACAGTTATTTCATTTGGCAAACAGTTACTGAGTATGGGTGTGTGCCAGGGGCAGTGTTAAGCAGTGTGCAGATACATCAGACTGGGTTCTGGCCTGCAGGGAGCTCAGCTTAGTGAGACAGATAAGGAAATTATGATTCCAACACAGTGATCAGTACACTGAGTTCTTTTTGTGATACATTTGTACAGAAGGGGGACTGGTCGTCCACTTTTGAGGGGTGGGATATGGCCAGGGGATGCTTTGTAATACAGACTTTATTCAGTATTTATGTATTGCATGTTATATATCAGTTTTTCTTGTTTTATCATTTTAACCTCAATTTATAGATTAGGAAGACTTAGGATAAATGATGTAACTGATACAAGACAGCCATGGTCAAACCCAGATCTCTCTGATGCTTAAATCTGTACTTTTCCATTACTTGGCTTGCCGTCTTTCTCATCCCATAGCTATCTACTCAAGAACATCCTGAAACTATACAAAGGAAAAAATATGAATATTAAAGTGCATGGTACTAAGAATCATTTGAATGTATCACAGCCTTCCAAGGCAAGTTGGTAGTAGCTGATCTCCTCAACTTTGAATATGGGCAAAGAAGATCGTCTAGAGAATTAGCATGGGCTCTGTGTTCAATTCCTGGTCTCTCTTCTGACTAGATAAGTGACCTTTGGCAAGTTTCTTAACCCTAGGCATCATTTTCCTCAACTAGGCTAGGGATGAGGGATGCTACTGACCTCACAGGTGTTTGGAATATGTAGTGAGCTACCATGGATAAAAGGGCCTGGTGTAGGTTGAGCATCCCTGATCCAAAAATCTAAAATCTGAAATTTTCTTTTTTAATTTCTTTTTTTTTGAGAGGCAAAAGGACACACAGTTCCCAATTACTGGTCCACTCTCCGAATTTCTGCAATGGCTGGGGCTGGGCCAGGGCCAAAATCAGGAGCCAGGAGCTCAGTGAAGGTCTCCCACATGGATGGCAGGAACCCAGTCCCTTGTGTCCTGCTTGCATCAGCAGGAAGCTGGGAGTCAGGAGCTGGAAATGGGTAGGGACCTCAGCTGCCTTGACATGTGGGCTTCTCAAGTGGGTCCCAGCCACCGAGCCAAACACCCACCCCCAAGAGCAGAAACTTTGAGCACTACATGACTATCAAAAAGCTTCAGTTTTTGGAGTATTTGGAATTTTGGAATTTTGGATTAAGCCTATGGAAATACTTCAAAACCTGAAAAAATTAAAATCCTATATAGTTCTGGTCTCAAATATCTTTTTAAAGATGTATTTATTTATTTGAAAGTCAGAGTTACTCAGAGAGGAGAGGCAGAGAGAGAGAGAGAAGTCTTCTATCTACTGGTTCACTCCCCAGCTGGCCACAACGGCTGGAGCTGTGCCTATCTGAAGCCAGGAGCCAGGAGCTTCCTCCAGGTCTCCCACGAAGGTGCAGGGGCCCAAGCACATGGGCCATCTTCTACTACTTTCCCAGGCCATAGCAGAGAGCTTGATCAGAAGTGGAGCAGCTGGGACTTGAACCGGCACCCATATGGGATGCCAGCACTGCAGGCGGTGGCTTTACTCGCTATGCCATAGCGCCGGCCCTGGGTCCCAAATATTTTGGATAAGAGACATTCAACTTGTGCATGGCAAAGCCTCCAAGACGACAGGTGTGAAATTTGGAGGAATAATGCCTGTGACGTGGCTCTAGAGTGCGGATGAGCCACAGCCTGAGCAAAGCAAGCTGTTACCTCGTTGAGCAGAGTGTTGGGGTAAAGGGAGGGGCAGTGGAGGTCAGAGTCTGGCAGATTGAGTGCCAGGCAAGAGGGGGAAATTCTAGTGGTCTTGCTTTTTTTTCCCTTTTTTTTTTCCTAAATGATTTATTTCTTTGAAAGAGTTACAGAGAGGGAGAGACAGACCTTCCATCTGCTGGTTCACTCCCCAAATGGCCAGGGCTGGGCCAGGCTGAAGCCAGGAGCCAGGAGCCAGGAGCTTCTTTTGGGTCTCCCACATGGGTGCAGGGGCCTAAGGACTTGGGCCATCTTCTGCTGTTTTCCCAGGCACATTAGCAGGGAGCTGGGTCCCGAGTGGAGCAGTTGGGACTTCAGCCAGTGCTCTCATATGGGATGCCAGTGTTGTAGGTGGCCATTTAACTCATGATACTACAACACCAGTCCTGGAAATTCTAGTTTCTGCTCATAACTTTCACAATTAAATACTGTGAGGATGTATGATTTACTCAGCAGGGTCAGGCCAAATGTTACCCCCTGGGGACACGAAGAAGAGTAAAACCAGGTCACTCCCTGAGGTTGTTGACATTGCGGTGGAGAAATGTGTGCAGGCGAAGCTGCAGCAGGTCCTGTAGGTGGTGAGTGTGGAGGCCCCACAGGTGCTGTGAGCACACGGAGCCACGCTGCTGGTCGTGCTCACTTGGGTCAGCACTGCGGTAAGTGCTTTATCATGTATTCTTGTGTGAGGAGGTGTTATCAGCATCCCAGCTTTACAGGTGAGGAACTGGGCACTGAGAGGTTCAGTAACTTCCTCGGGTCTGTGCAGCTGGGTGAGGAGTGAGATGGAGGGATTTTCCGCTGGCTTTGGAATTTGTCTCTTCAGGGTTGCACCATGTTGCTTGTTCTTTGTGGTGTGGACGGGGACCCTCTGGAGAGGCTTCTAGGTAGGGCTGTTCCTTTAGCAGTGGCTTCGGTGCAGTAGTCACTGCTGGGCATTTCGGTTAGTGGGGACCGCAGTAGATTCTGTCCTGAAGGAGCTCATCACCATGTCTGTCGCTTTAAATATATTTCTTGGGTCCAGCGTTGTGGTGTAGTAGGTTAAGTTGCCGCCTGCGATGCTGGCCTCCCTTATGGGTGCTCCATTTCCTTTCTAGCTCCCTGCTGATGTACCTGGGACATCAAATCACTTGGGCCTGAGTTCCAGGCTCCTGGCTTCCAGTTGGCCCAGGCCTGGCCCTTGTAGCCATTTGGAAAGTGAACTAGTGGATTGAAGATCTCTCTCTCTCTCTCTCTTTCTTTCTCTCTTTCTCTGTCTTCCCTGCTCCCCACCCCCTCTCTCTATAACTCTGCCTTTCAAATAAATAAATCTTTAAAAAAAATCTTAAAAAAAAAGATTTATTTTATTTATCTGAAAGAGTTACAGAGAGAGAGTAAGAGAGAGAGAGGTCTTCCATCCACTGGTTTACTCCCCAAATGACCACAAGGACAAGAGCTGAGCTGAGCTGATCCGGAGCCAGGAGCTTCTTCTGGGTCTCCTGTGTGGGTACAGAGGCCCAAGGACTTGGGCATCTTCTGCTGTTTTCCCAGGCCATAGCATAGAGCTGGATCGGAAGTGGAGCAGCCGGGATCGAACCAGTGTCCATTTGGGATGCTGGGGCTTTAACCCACTGGGCCACAGTGCCAGCCCCTAAAGAAATCTCTCTCTCTCTATATATATATATATTTCTCTGTGGTGGTGGTGATGGTGGGGATTTTGCTTCTTGACTTGTAACTGAAGATTTCAGAAATTATTTTTTTAAATATATAGCCCATTGGAAATTATTAAAAAAAAAACACTTTTATTTATTTGAAAGGCAGAAAGAGAGAGATTGAGATCGAGATCTCTGTCTTCTGGTTCATTCCTCCAAAGCTCTGCAATAAGCTAGGGGTGGGCCAAGCTGAACCCTAGAGCCCAGAACTCAATCTGGGTGTCCCATGCAGTTGGCAGGGGCCCAAAAATTTGACCTATCATCTGCTAACTCCGTCGGTGCGCGTTAGCAAGAAGTGGGACTCAGAAGAACAACTGGGACTCAAACCCAGGCGTTCTGATGTGGGACTCAGGCGCCCCAGGTGGCATG